CGTGACAAATACAAGACGAGAGGTGTTGTACGACGTCCTTTACAGAACAAATATCTAACAGTTCATGAAGTGGGGTAACCTTACACCCTGCAGGGTGACAACGCTAAAGTACCTGCAGTGAATTCGCTGAAGTATTACCACCCTAAACATTCCTGTGGACAACAGGGCTTCATCACCCCCACCACGATGAGGAGGAGGAGGGGTTACCACCAAAGACGGCCCTCCCCCTCATTACCAATATGCACAGAACACACATCCAATGGGAAGCCTACAGCAAAAGGGCGTCTCGAAGGATCCCTACTTCCTGCTTTGGTGGAGGAGGGAAGCCCTGCAATCCTCAGGTTGATGTCAGAGGTAAGAGGGAAGCCCTGCAGTCCTCAGGTTGATGTCAGAGGTAAGAGGGAAGCCCTGCAGTCCTCAGGATGATGTCAGAGGTAAGAAAGAAGCCCTATGCAGTCCTCAGGATGATGTCATAGAGGGTAGAGGGAAGCCCTGCAGTCCTCAGGATGATGTCAGAGGTAAGAGGGAAGCCCTATGCAGTCCTCGGGATGATGTCATAGAGGGTAGAGGGAAGCCCTATGCAGTCCTCAGGATGATGTCATAGAGGGTAGAGGGAAGCCCTGCAGTCCTCAGGATGATGTCAGAGGTAAGAGGGAAGCCCTATGCAGTCCTCGGGATAATGTCAGAGGTAAGAGGGAAGCCCTATGCAATCCTCAGGATGATGTCAGAGGTAAGAGGGAAGCCCTATGCAGTCCTCGGGATGATGTCAGAGGTAAGAGGGAAGCCCTGCAATCCTCAGGATGATGTCAGAGGTAAGAGGGAAGCCCTGCAGTCCTCAGGATGATGTCAGAGGTAAGAAAGAAGCCCTATGCAGTCCTCAGGATGATGTCATAGAGGGTAGAGGGAAGCCCTATGCAGTCCTCAGGATGATGTCAGAGGTAAGAAAGAAGCCCTATGCAGTCCTCAGGATGATGTCATAGAGGGTAGAGGGAAGCCCTATGCAGTCCTCAGGATGATGTCATAGAGGGTAGAGGGAAGCCCTATGCAGTCCTCAGGATGATGTCATAGAGGGTAGAGGGAAGCCCTATGCAGTCCTCAGGATGATGTCATAGAGGGTAGAGGGAAGCCCTATGCAGTCCTCAGGATGATGTCATAGAGGGTAGAGGGAAGCCCTGCAGTCCTCAGGATGATGTCAGAGGTAAGAGGGAAGCCCTGCAGTCCTCAGGATGATGTCATAGAGGTAAGAAGAGGAATTCCTAGTGGCAAGTAATAAAAAAACAAAAACAAATGGGTCATGTGTATACCGGAGAGGGGAAATCTACTAAAAACAAACAAACAGTGTGAATGATACTAAGTTTTCATTTATTCTGATCCACTCTCTAATTCACTCCTTCTCCCCCTCCACCCCTCAATGATCACTTTCCTGAAGATTTGCTTTTAGTTCCACCCATTGACATTTCACTTTTGTTCCCTTTTAGAATAGTGGAAAAAAGACTTTGTAAATAATTGTAGAACAATCCTCATGTCACGGAGTCATTTTATATGGAACGGATAATGGAACATGGAGACTGCAGTACAGACAATTGTTTCTGTAATATCCGATTATCTGCTCGTTCATTTCCACAGACAATATCACCTAAAGAAAGCGCGCACACGCCTCACAAACACGTGACACACACGCACTCTGCCCAGCCGTCAGCGATTCAGAGACGTTGGGCAATATCTAATGACATGAATCCAGGTCTCCGGAATTCCCCAACACAGGAGGAAGAGGAAAGGTAATTCACAATGTTTATAGATGTGTGCCGATCCCGTGCAATGTACTCCGCTCCAATCTGCCGGGAACTGCCCACAGCCCGGTCACAGCCCGCCTGACAGCACACGCCATCACACTCCCTCGCGATCACACACACACACACACACAATGACACACACAATGACACACACAATCACCTTGTGCCTTGCAGATTCTACTACTATCTCAACAATATCTAATAGGCAGAGACTGTCTGAGCAAAAGAGCAGTCTTTAATGACCGAAAACACCCACAATGCACCAGCCGGCCACAGTATAAAAGAATCATAAGGTGATGGTAATGAGCCCGACTTATTAATGGGAATATGGATGACATACGAAGGGCAAGATTTCAAAGCATTATAGGAGCTGGAGCCTTCAACACCAGGTTCTCAGGCCTGCTTTTTCTGGGCAGCATTCCGGGGCTACCCCTATAGGAGCCGGCCTTTCCGGGGCTACCCCTATAGGAGCCGGCCTTTCCGGGGCTACCCCTATAGGAGCCGGCCTTTCCGGGGCTACCCCTATAGGAGCCGGCCTTTCCGGGGCTACCCCTATAGGAGCCGGCCTTTCCGGGGCTACCCCTATAGGAGCCGGCCTTTCCGGGGCTACCCCTATAGGAGCCGGCCTTTCCGGGGCTACCCCTATAGGAGCCGGCCTTTCCGGGGCTACCCCTATAGGAGCCGGCCTTTCCGGGGCTACCCCTATAGGAGCCGGCCTTTCCGGGGCTACCCCTATAGGAGCCGGCCTTTCCGGGGCTACCCCTATAGGAGCCGGCCTTTCCGGGGCTACCCCTATAGGAGCCGGCCTTTCCGGGGCTACCCCTATAGGAGCCGGCCTTTCCGGGGCTACCCCTATAGGAGCCGGCCTTTCCGGGGCTACCCCTATAGGAGCCGGCCTTTCCGGGGCTACCCCTATAGGAGCCGGCCTTTCCGGGGCTACCCCTATAGGAGCCGGCCTTTCCGGGGCTACCCCTTTAGGAGCCAGCATTCCGGGGCTACCCCTTTAGGAGCCAGCATTCCGGGGCTACCCCTTTAGGAGCCAGCATTCCGGGGCTACCCCTTTAGGAGCCAGCATTCCGGGGGTCAATGTTCTGAGATGACCCTTTTCCAGTCAACAATCTGGAGACACCCTTCACCAAAGCTCACCTTTTATAAAGGCTTCAGAGGCAGAAATGACTCGGTAACACAATACATATACAAAACGCAGGAAGGAGAAGAG